TCCTTCGTGCGAAATCTCCTCGCCCTACCCTGGTTCACCCGAGCCTGGGTAGTCCAAGAAGCCGTGCTACCAACTAAAGCCACTTGCTTCCTCGGCGCCTTCACCTTCTTTATAGAAGATCTATGGGCCGTTGTGGTACACTTCAGGAGCGCGGAACGGTATCTCACAGGGAGGGACTATGTCAACTTACGTCAGCTACCTGGGTATTTGGTGCTGAACGAGATCATGCGATTGCGGATGCAGGCGCGATTTCAGCGAGGTCCCAGCCCTAATGAGTCGACGTGTTTCTACCACTCACTTTCCGTCTTTGCGCCGAGATCCAGGACGTCGAGCCCGCATGACATCATTTTCGCTTTTCTGGGGTTACAGCGAGATCGGCGGGTTAAGATTCTGCCGGACCACGATATGGAATGGGATATTGTACCCTACGTAGCCACCAAGTCGATTATTGAAGCTACAGCCAGTTTAAATCTATTCGGACTGCTGCACCGGAAGGACGAAGAAACGAGTCGGTGGCCGGTTCTGGCGTCTTGGGTGCCGGATTGGTCGAGGACGGCTGAGGCGGAACCGTTGGTTTTTCCGAGGAGTTGGATTTACTTTGATGCTGCTGCTGGGAGACGGCATAAAGCTGAGATGGTGACTGGCCTCGACACGTCGCATCTGGTGGTCACGGGGAAGATTATCGGTGAGGTGGCGCACACGCTGGCGTTTACGAAAGGCCTTGCTGAGCCGCTTACGAACCGGCATGGATGGGACATTTGCTCTTACCTCAACTTGCCACATCTACACTATCTGTTGGGACAGATGTGGCGAGAACAGAAGTCGACTGCCCCGTCAATGGAGCGTTTGTTGAAAGTTATTCTAGCCGACGGTTCCTTCACACTGAACCAGAAGCTAAGGGAGCACTGCAGCGAAGGTCTACCAGCTTCAGATGTAGACGAGCTGGTTTCAACGTACTTGGCGACTGAAAACGCGCCAAAAGAGCGTGACGTTATCACGATGGGTCGGTCCAAGAACGCTGATGATCTGGGGAAACGAGCGACTAGACTTCGCGATCATGCTCGCGTAGCCTGGGCCCGACAGGTTATCGTGGGACGCGATTGGAGAATTGGGCTTGCACATCGTTCGGTTTGTGAGGGCGACTTGATATGCATCATCCACGGCTCGAAAGTACCACTTGTGCTTCGTCGTCTTGCAAATGGTTATTATCGCTTGATGGGCCAGTGTTACCTTGAAGGCGCTATGCGCGGCGAAGAAGTAACTTGGGATGAAGGGAGTGCAGACGAATTCGTACTTGTGTAAGCCTCACTTCCCCTTATGGTCACCAAGCAATACCAAGGATGTTTCATTACAAAAGGATCAAAGCGGATATCACGATTCCCATTTACAACTTCGTCTCCGTCCCCCTCAACGCCTCTATATCGACGACTTCCTTGACCGCCTCGGTAGTGAGGACATACGGACTCTCGTCATCCACACAAACGCTATCTTCAATCCTCATGCCTATGCCGCGCGCCCATTTGGGCCACCGCTCTTCATTGGGGACATAGATACCGGGTTCCACGGTAACACACATGCCCTTCTCAAACTTCCTACTCCGGCTCAGACCAGGGGAGTCGTGCACATCGAGACCAACGTAGTGGCCCACGTGGTGTGGAAACAGTGTCTGGATAGCATCGGCATCCATGTCGAAGCCGAGGTCCTTCAGACCGGCAGCTAGGGAATTGGAAGCTGTATGGTGTAGTTTGTCGAGGGTGAAATTTGAATCTGTGCGGCAGAGCGAGATGCAGGATCTTTGTACCGCGAGCAGGAGGGTGTAGAGATCGCGTTGGGCGGGGCTGAACTTGCCGGATACAGGCCATGTACGTGTTATATCCGTGACGTAGCCGCCGTACTGGGCGCCTGCGTCGACCAAGACGAGTTCTTTGGGGTTGAGGAGCATGTCGTTGGAGACGTAGTGGATGGTGTTGGCGTTGATGCCGCCGGCCACGACGGGGACGTATGCCGGGCCGTCGCAGTTGTCTTGCTTGAACCAGTAGTCGAGGAAGGAGTCGAGGTCCTTTTCTGTGGTGAAGGACTGCCGCATTGCGTCTGTGATGGCGCGGCCCGAGTGCTGGCCTGCACGGCGCATGTTTGTGATCTCGGCTTCGGATTTGATGAGGCGGAGCTCGTTGACGAGCGGGCGGAGGGGTCGTACGCTTGCGGGTGCGTCGCGGAAGACATTGAAGATACCGCCTGTGCGTGAGGGCTCTGCGCCGGCGAGGTAGCGTGATAGTAGGTTCTTGGATACGCGGGATTGGGGGAGGTCGGTGTATATGGCTTGCGCGCGGTTGACTATGTCGGGGAGCAGACGAGGTAGGTCGTCGACGCTGCCGCTCACGTCGGCGTTGAAGACGTCCTCCGCGGCCTCAACGCCTGATCGTGGCCCCTCCCAGGCTTCCACCTTGGGGTCCTTGGGCCGGACATATAAGTGGAATGTGTGCTCCCCATCTCCATGCTTCTCTATTATGGCCACGGCATCCTGCTCTCTAAATCCCGTCAAGTACAGGAAGTCTGGATCCTGGTGGAACTTGTAGAAGACGGCGCCGGACGCATATTTCAGGTCGTTTGCGGCGAGGATGGCGGTCGAGTTTGGGGGCAGTTCTTTGGCGAGGGCGGCGCGGCGTTGGTGGTACTCGAGTGCCGTGATACCGGGGGTGACTACAGCATGTTAGTATAGGGTAAGACGTTGCTCGGGCGGTCATCACCTTCCCCAGCCTTGAGTAGGTGTGGATGCGTCTCATGGAGCGGTTGGCCAAATCGGAGTTCAGCGGCGGGCACAGCAGCGGCCGCATACGCCCTCGTGCCGCCGACTCTGGGCTGCACCCGCCCGACGCGTCTCGCAGCATCGCACCGGTATGGCACGCGTGCAGCCGGTCGCAGCCATCTTAAGGCAAAAGTCATGGTCGTTGGCGGAGGGTTGGCTCGGGCGAATCAAGCTTCGGCGGAAGAGGCATCGGTTTCCCGGCCTGGTGGGCGCTAGGCCGCTGGTGGGGGAGCCTGACGTACCTTGCAGGTGCCACTACCGCCGCAGCTTCCCCCTCCCCGCAAACACCTCCAGGCCCCCGTTTCTGCCTGTCGGACAGCCAACGCACACATGACACGCCCGGCCTCTTATCTTCCTCCTCTTCGCACGCCCAGTCTGCGAAGAAGACCACCTCCACCGTGACGCTGCCCACCATCATCCGCAGAATGGCCTCGTCGGCCGCCCAACCCAGCGTCGTTCCGCCCAAGGACCTCGAGAGCTTCCAGCAACACCTGACCAAGTCGACGCGTATTCTCGCGCTTCTCGGTGCGGGGCTATCAGCATCTTCTGGACTACCGACTTTTCGAGGTGCGGGAGGCATGTGGAGGACGCATGACGCGACATCACTAGCAACACCCCAAGCCTTTGAGCGCGATCCAGGACTCGTGTGGCAATTCTACAGCTACCGACGGCACATGGCCCTCAAAGCCAAGCCGAATCCCGCACACTACGCCCTTGCCGAACTGGCGAAGAAGAAGGAACAGTTTATCACGCTGAGCCAGAACGTTGATGGCGAGTATCCACCTCGACCCTCAGCTGTAGCATAGCTAACACCACCACCAGGCCTATCACCGCGCGCTCAACACCCCGCCGAACAACTCAAACTCCTGCACGGCTCCCTCTTCGACCTCAAGTGCTCAGACTTCTTCTGCAACTACTCGGAGCGGAACAACTACACCGACCCCATCGTGCCTGCTCTCGCCATACCCACCGACGAATCCGACCCAACTACAAACGCCGCCCTTGCCGCCCGCGAACTAGACATCTCAGACATCAATGTCGAAATCCCAGAACTCGACTACAAGCACCTCCCCCATTGCCCCGAATGCAAGAACGGCCTGCTGCGTCCGGGTGTAGTCTGGTTTGGCGAAATACTGCCTAAGAAGGTTATGGAGGATGTCGACGCATTTATCGAGGACGAAGAAGATATTGATCTCATCATGGTCATTGGGACGAGTGCGAAGGTATACCCTGCCGCCGGGTATGTGGATCTTGCGCGCAGCAAGGGAGCGAGGGTTGCCATTATCAACATGGACGCGAATGACGTTCCCGCGGGAGGACTGTACGATGGGGACTGGTTCTTCCAAGGCGATGCAGCGCAGATTGTGCCCGAGTTGCTGAAGAGCGTCATTGGAGAGATTGATACAGAAAACATGGGAGATGCTGCGGGAGGAGCTGGCTTGAGACCTGCCAGACTGTCTTGAGGTTCTGTGCTGGATTTGCCCTGTTGGATGTTAGCAAGACTGAAGTAATGCAATGGGGCTAGACTATATGGCTTTACCTAGGTAGTCTCCTACTAGTGCATCCCTACAGCATCAAACAACTGTCACATGGACATTGTCAGTATGCCTCCATGTGAAAATTCCCCGCTGTTGCATCAAAGGAGATGCATTGGTCATGAACCAATATTGCTTTTTATTACTATCTTGCTATTACTGTTCCGTGAATGATGTACTATGTACTTGCGTAGTACTCCTCTTCCCCGTCCCGCGAACGCGTCGATGCGATGCGAGTCCATAGTCCAACACGCATAAGCGAATGCTGATGCTATGATACAACATCTTTCCTTCATCTAGCATCGCTGTTCGAAATAGTATTTGGGTATAACACGCGTAAGTCATGTTGCGGTAGCGAAGAGTGTTGGGGTTCAACCGGCAGAGAGTTACAACGTGGCCGTTTGATCCGATTCTGTTCGTCCAGTTGCCCCGTTTTTAGCCGGCAGTGATCCAGAATGCGAGCTTGTCCTGTTTCCAACTTTTGGCCCCGTTGATGACGAGGTGGGGATCCCGTTAAGGTACGATACAGCGGCCGCTAGCGTCAAATCGGATACCGATGCCGCAAGGGTAAGAATAGTCTCCCAGGTCCACCACCAATCGCATCATTTTGTGTGCAGTCGGTGCTGCAGTGATTTGTCGCGAAAGGTAATCCCCCGTCCTCATAACATGTGGAAATGGTAGTTGCCGAAATTATCCATCTCGTAGCGGAAAAGAGCTTCGGATGGTTGGTCGTTGTCCGGCCATGGCAGATACTGTGGATCCACCTTTGCTGGTGCTGGCTGTTGCAGCACCATGATGACCTCATCCGGGAAGGCATCTGCTATGTCGGCCCAGACGTACGGTTTTGACGTCTTGACTATCGAATATACGACCTGGTAGGCGCGGGAAGCCAGCATGTTTGTGTCGCACATGCTGCGGAGTGAGGTGACGAGTTGCCGTGTGCTGTGCACAGACGCTTGGTGTGTGTCGCGGAAGTGATCGGGACAGGATATGGCTATCATGAGGACGGCGAGAGCTTGCATGACTGTAGTGATGTGTCAGTAGTTGAGACGGGAATTTGAGGTTTTAACATACTGTTGTGGACAATTGTCCACCAGGGCCCTTTTTCATATAGACTCCTGACATTAGGCTCGTTTGCCAACAGCGATGCCACATCTCGTGCCGCTTGTACGCACGACTCTGCCACAGACTGATCGAGCGAATTGAAGTCATCGGTTCCGGCTTGGAAACAGCGTTCAATACGGCGCAGTGAGGGACGAGTCGTCAGAACCTTCAGTCGGTAGTACTGAAGTTTGAGCAAGAAGACGTCGCGTTGTTGCATGCGAGCTGAGTTCCGTTCTTCTGACTGAACTTGGGGAATGTATTCAAATGCCCACTTGTCAAGGTGTTCGCATAGAGATATAGTCATTTGTTGGAGGTAGTCCCATGATGGCGCAGATCTACGCTGTGTGTAGAGGTTGGAGATGATTTGCTGGGTCAGGAGATTCAGGTGGATATCGGCATCGAGAAAGTCGAGACTGGGCACAGGTACGCTTTGGGTCTGATCGCTATTCACGGCACTGGGCAGTGGAGTTGTGATGTCTTCGTTGGGTATAATGCTCGGTCGACCGGTAATCGAACTGAGCATGCTCTCCAGGGCATGTAAACTCCACCAGGTGCAAACCATACTCTGCCTTCGGGCGGCAGAGACAGATTGATCATCTTGTTGCACGTGAAGGCCGAGCGAGAAAGCCGATCGCATCGCCATGCCTACCATTACCCAAGCCCTGATACAGTATCAGCATGCAAGCACATCGATTGGAAGCAAGGGACGAAGAAAGGATAGACTAGGTAGTCACGAGCAAAGATATTGCGCATACTTACCGATTCAAATGGCCAGCAGTCATGTAGTAAATCGCAAAGAGTCCAGCAGCCTAAAATGTTTAGCATAGTCGAACAGAATCCGCGGCTCAGACTTGCCTGCGTTGTGAGCAGATCCGGAGTCGTTAGGACAACGATTGTGTCATTCATACTAAGCAATTGAAAGGCACGCGACAAGTAGACGATGTGATCCAGTTCATCAGCTCTCCAGTCGGCCTGGACGAGATGTGAAAACTTGGCGCCTATGGCAAAGACGAGGTTGACTAGCGCAAACCATTTCTCCGGGCAATGTATAGCCTGCCCGTTCCGAACCAAGGTATAGTATTGGAGCAGCTGGTGCTCAATAGTTGGGGGGAGGATGGGAAAGGAGCTTTGGATGGTCTGGGTGAAGCACTGGAATAGCAGTGCTGCAGTATGCTCGGGTGGCAGCTCAAAGGGATTCCCACAGTCTGTGAGTTTTATACCTTCTTCGTCGAGATAGTAGTTGGTGAGCGCGATCTGTTCGAGCGGGGTTGCGGCAAGGGAGGTGGGTGAGGCAGTGAAAGTAGGCGAGGGTGGCTGAGAGAGTGGCGCAGTGGTGTCAGGTGGGCCAAGCAGAACGGTATCGAGCGCTTGTACTCTGCTCCTGAGCGTCTGTAGCCACTGTACTTCGGAGATCTGGCCCAAGAAGCCTGCTTCGACTACATTGGGCACTTCGCCACCGTCTTCGTCGCCAGAGTCTTCCGGGACAGTACCGTCCAGGCGAGGAAGGGGTGACTGATCCGAGGTAGGCGAGGTCTCTGCTCCGAGCGGCACATAGCTAGAGGACGGGGCAAAGGGGTGCATGCGCGAGTGCTGAGAGAATGGCTGAGGGGCGGATGCTCGCGAAGAAGAGGATATGGAGACGGGCGACCCGACCTCGTCATCTGACTTGGCGGTATTAGTTTGAGCAGTGGCATCCGGCTGGCAGGTCCTGTACTCACATCCTGGAGGGCATCTTCAATTCGACGTCGGTCATCGTCGCTGACGCGCAAGCTGAGGTCTCTGAGGACGGAGACGAGGGCATGGTTGCGGTCTTTGGCACTGGGGGAGTCAATTTCAGAACTCGGAATCAGGTCGATCAACTAACGTCGCCAGACGGTCTTTCCTGGGGCGCTCGTATACACATGTCTTGTCGGTCTTGTCGCAGTAGTTGCAGCGGGGGAGGCCGCCGCTACACTTGATCTCTAGCGTGTGTTAGATGTCGTGAGAAAGTGAATGATGTCGAAAAGGACAATGGCAACGCACTCCTCTTATGGCAGTTACGACATGCCCGCTGGACTCTGTCCCTCTGGCGCGACTTGGGCGTGGTGGGTGGCGGGGCGCGTCGGGGTGGTAAGCGTGGAATGGCGACCTTGAACTGCGACCCGTAGGGACCGGCCGAGGGGTGACCAGCCGGAGGGGGTCCAGGTCGCCTGTCGTCTTGCATCGGGCCGCTCGCGAAAACTCACGCTGCGTGGTAAGGGAACAAGAGTCATCTCAGCGCATCTCGCATCGTGTTTATGAAAATAACCGCCTGCGTCATGGGAATCAAAGATTGGGGATGAACGCTGCGCCTTGGCGGGAGCGACCTCGTAGTGATTGGCTTCGGTGCACAAGTCCGCATGGCCAATACTCATCGTGCCCGCGCATCTGCCCTGGACCTGCTGCGTGCGCCGCCATTGCAGGGGCGCGCCACGGGGCGAGTGTCGAGACGAAGGTTCCGCCGCGCCCTATATAGTGACTTCCTCGACCACGGGCGCGGGCAGAGAAGTAGACGGCGTCGACGTTGACTCCAGCTGGGCAGACGTCGGTCCAGATCCGCAGGCGCTAGCCCTCGGGCCCCTCTGCCGGTCGTCCCCTCTGCCGTTCAGCGGCATCCCGCCGTCGCTGCCCACTCGCACACTGCATCACGGTAATTTCCCATGCGCGACCAGACAGGTCGACATGGAATTTGCGTCGAATGCGATCCTGCCGGCACTTCACTTTGTCACCTTAGCACAAAAGCAAACCTTGGGACACGTGCCCGCTATCAGTCGTCCGAGCTAGCTCCGCCAACACCAGAATTTCGATTCGAGTTCCGCCGAGAAGAGTTACTGCTCTCGCTCTAGACATCTCGCTGCTTGTAAGCGAGGAACCCAAGATTGGGTCGCTGGCGTGTTTTCTTTTGCCGTATCAACGCCTCCAGATCGTCGTCCTGTCGTCCTCGTCGTCCGTCTATGTACCTCTGCAGTGCCATCGCACAAATAACCCGAGTCATGCACTGTGCTCTGTAACCTTATCGTGACCGGGCAGCATATGGTGTATCTCCTAGACTGCACCTTGTTAGTGAGCCACGTCTTGAACAAACACGCGCATCACCACACTCCCACCTAAGGATAAAACCCGATCTTTTGTGGATCAAGTCATCTCAAACCACCGGACAACACCCGCCAATCATCGCAGCTGCCAAATTTGGGTTGTCCCTCGGTTGCCCGGTTGCGGCCTAGCGCCGCTAAGGCACATGCAACCTTTAGCTTTACACATCCATAAATCCTCCCGACTGCGAATGCGAATATAGTCTTGCATGGCTAGGAACAAGCCCATGGCGCTTCTGCGCGATATAACCACTTTGATCTGCGCTTTGTGCCAACGCAGCACAGTAGTACCACGGGTGTGTGCAAGCATGGTTTCATTTCGCCGGCCTGCAGGTGCATCCCTTGCTATAGCCCAGGTCGCCACCCCAGACCAACTCCAACGTTGGCAACTTCCGGCGGCCTTTTCCATTCGGCACATGTATTTTCGCAGGCAGGCAATACGAAATACGCCAAATTATAGTTCAGCCTCAATCTCGGTCCCACTGATCCCTTGATATTCCACTCTTATATCCACCGCCGTCCGCTCAGGCATGCTCGAGCCACACCCCGCCAACCCCGCCACCTCTTTCTCCACTATCCAGCCTCTCCGCGGAGCCTCCAAACTTTCCGGCCTTTGCGTTTGTTATTAGGACTACGTCGCCATACCAGAATCCCCTATCTTTAACGCGTTCCTGCTCCTCCTCGTTCTTTGGCAAGCGCAGTATAATCTTCGCACCGGTGTCACGAGTCTCCACTTCATGCACGCGCTTGATCCTGAATTCAAATCCTCCATCAAACTTCTCTCCAGTACTACCGATGACGGCGTCGTAGATTTTTCTAGTCTCATCTAGCAGGGCCTGGTCGCGCACGATGATAGTAAGTCGGCTGACCCCAATCGCGCAGCATGGATGAGTCGTCTTCGGATCGTCGATTGGAACGCGGACACCCCGAGGAGTAGTATCGTGGCAGAAGAATGGCACCCTGCCCCTAACACTCTGTCCACCTTTCTCTCCCTTGGGAAAGGTGACAGCCCAGGCTACATCGACTCCATCGGCCCTCTTTCTCCCACCCTTGATCGGGTTTGAGTGACTTTCTATTACCGCCTCGTAGTTCTTCTCGGGCGAAAGCGAGTTGGTCAAGCACCAGTCTTTCCAGCCTACGAAGTTGGCGTCCGGGCCCCACCAATGCTCAGGCGCGAGGGAAGGGTTGACGAAGGAGATGAGTTCGATGTAGCATCCGTCTGCGAGGAGAATCAAGACATTTGATGTCGCGCCGTCAGCGTGGAAGCCTCCTGGGGTAAGTGTGAAGTTGTCCGAGAAGAATGGAGGGACTTCGGGCAGTTGCGTTGTTGGGTTGGCGGGGACGAAGAGGATTAGGTGGTCTAGGCTTTGCTGTGACGTGGCCATTGCGGCAGTTGTATCTTGGGGACTGACTTGGTTGGGACCTCAGGTTATCTCACGGTGAGTTAATTACTACCTGAAGAGCTCAGCACCAAGTGTTCGTGGACGTGGAGTCATTGCGCCCAGGCTTGTCCGGAAAGGGAGCGGCTACGGGAAGCGACAGGGATGCATGAGGGGTAGCTCCTGCCAACACTGCTTGTCGCGTAAGTAATCAGTCACTTGTATACGCTCATCTTATCAGATCGAGCTTGAATACTCTGAAAGACCCAATCTGGCGCTTATCTCTACGAACGACCACCGTATGACTTAACTTTGCGGTATCGCATGAAGTTTCGCGCGACCTCGAAAGAACCTTGGAACGTACACTTGACAGTGAAGCAGCCGCAAGCAATACATGTGCATATCATTTCTTGCATCACCATCTCTCGCACGGCCATGGCGAATGAACGAGACTGCATCAATCATCAAAGCGACGGATGCTAGCGATATACCATTTCAAATTATCGATTCAAGACAACATCCCCTGTCCAACCCTCAATCCCATCCTCATCCCACCTTCCCACCCACAACTTCTCGCACTCCCTCCCGAATCTCACTAACACCACCTGCTCCTTTCCAAACTCATAGCTCTTCTCATCTTCAAACAAATCTCGTATACCCACACTGCAATCCAGCATCGGCGCTTTGTTGCTGCCGTACTTGTAGCCTGGCATGGGCAGGATCGCGATGTTGAGCAACGCGCGAGCTTCGGGCGAGAGTCTGGTGGCGCGTTGGAGGGTTTTGAAGATGTGAACTGCCTGGTAGATCTCTTGGTATGCTTGGGCCCCCCACAGGGGTAGAGTGGGGAAGTGTTGGAGGAGGTTGGAGGGCGTTAGCGGTGGGAGGGCTTCTGATGTGGCTTTTTGTCTGATAGGCAGGGTGATTGGTGTGGACATTAGCGCGGGTGTTGAGATGCTGGGACGTGATGGCGGGGTTTCTTTCGTCTCGGGTGCTGGGCGGTTTGGCTGATGATTGCTTCAATCTTGACATCTTGATTGCCCTTTTATATAGATGAAGATGTATGCTCTGTCCGCTGTGTTGTCTAGGGTTAGACATGTGTCTTTCGTTATGAACAAGACATTGTCCTAAGGTGAACTTGAGACTTATGTGAGGTGTATAGGCCAATGTCTGAGATGATCGGTAGCTAAGTATGTATATACTAGCATCATATTTCTCCTCGAGGTGCCGTCGACAAGGGTTCAACACTGTAATGCCGGGGTACCAAAACGGTACCCGGGAGGGACTCCACGTTCCTGGCATCGTTCGGTGCACTCGCAATAACCCGTTGTATACAGCTGGCAACTGTTTTAGAGCGCAGAAAACAGAATAACACTGTTTGTATCCGCCTTGCGGAAAGGCGTCATCTAATTTTGCAGTCAAAATAATTTCCCAGGCTGTTTAGACTGTAGGTGTAAAGGGGCACGTCTTTAGTGTAATTCACAGTTCTCTAATATTGTAGTGTCTTTTAAGTTAGCCTTTTCCTAAGCGCCTTAACCTTGTATGCTCTCTTTGTCTGTTCTCTTTCTGTGGCGTTCACGAGGGCTAGCGTCGGAGGGGGCTGAGAGATCGTGGACTTAGTTTGTGTTGGGTTCCTTTTGTTGCTCTCGTGCGTTCTCGCTGCTCGGGCTTCGAAGTAACCTGCTTTGGTGTCTATGCCTGTCAATGCCGCAGCAATGTTCAATGCTGCGTCGTACTGTCGACCGACTGCAGTGGTTCGATTCCTCAGTAGATACTCTGGATGCCAAGCTTAAACAACGACGAATAAAATCTTTTGGGCGTCGTTGCGCACTATGCCCATGAGCGTCGGGCTGCCGCACGATAGTCGGACCGTGATGTTCTCCACGTTATGTCGCTCATCGAACTGTTTTCTATTGAAGGCGCCAAATACCAGTAGGACTTTCTTCGAAAGCGACTGACATCTGTAGAAAAATTCGTCGTGCAGTTGTTTGACCTCCTCTTTCCACTCGTCGGCGACATTCGCGAGGTGACGTACGGACGCCGCGGTCAGACGGCGGAAGTACGCTTCGTACCAATATGTGTCGCTCGCCGCGAAGCCCTTCTCGATGAATATTCGGATGCAGCAGTTTGACGCGTCCAGCGTCTGACCGTCCTTGGGAGTCTTTGTCGTGAAAGTTGGATAGTGTAGCTGCAAATGCAACATGGAGGTTGCGCAGCCTGATGGTGAGACGATATGGGATTCTAGCATGCCGCTTCGCCTCGCCTCTTCCTTCTTGAATGCTTGGAATAGCTCGGGCATATCGAAGCTATTCTGTCCGTACTCCAGGTCGTACACAGATTCTTCTAGGAACTCACGCGCCCCGTAGGTCATCATGGCTAGAGGTTGCAGCACTTCTGCCCGTACTGTAGCGAGCCTGGCTTCCGAAGGAGAGTTCATGCATGCTGTGTTCTCAGAATTCATGTGCGTCGCCCATGCAGCTACTTCCTCTGAAGTCATGTCGTTGGTGTCGAGATAGTCACCGTCGTCGAGCAAAATCGCGCCATGCTCTCCACCAGCCCAAGTGTCCTTGACGTTATCTGTCCGGGTCACGTCTTGCACAAGCATGACGCGATCGTATTCGTGAATCCAGGCTTCTAACTACCGGGACGTACTCAGCCGCGCAAGCAACCGCTGTTTGTTCTGTACACTCGAGCGTAGCGCGGCTTGTCGGTCGACCAGCAGTGATACCACATCGTCGGCGCTGGGTTCCTGTACTTCAGTGTCGTTGTACATGTCCGACTCTTGCGACGTGGGAGATCCGTTCGGTGGTAGGTTCAGTAGGACGTCCGAACTGGCGGAGGGAAGTTCCAGGGCGTTGGCAATGTAGTATCGGGTATGTCAGTAGGTGAGGGTGAACTCCAAAGTCGTCTGTGAGAGGTCCGAAAGCGTGGCTTCGGAAGGATGGGAAGGCAAGTGTGGCAGGGTTGATATAGATGCAGCAGCCTTGGCGGTGATCTGATCACGTGGTCTCAGGTAAAGGCAGCCCTGGAGGGCCATCTTGCTCACACGTGGCTAGCGTGCCGTGATGATGCCCAGTGCAACAGCAATGGTTCGATCTGGATGCCCCAGCGCCAAGATCACTGACTGTTGAATGGAGATAGCCCTGACACCTGTCGCGGTTGTACCTAAGCGACGACCATTATAAGCGACAAAGATCCGGACCAAAACACCGACGATGATACCCGGCATTGTCGACGAGCAGGAACTGGACGGCCGTTGAAGTAAGGTCATCAACCTTGAAGGTGCCATCTCAAACTTCTCAAGGATTTGAACAGCCTTTACCTTCTCCTCGCATTTAGGGTGCATGTGTACGAATAAGATAGATAGGTCGTTGTTCTTCTCCAAAACCTCTGGATGCTGTTTCGTTTCCGTGGAATGCTAGCCTCTTGCTACTTCGAAAGTTCGTCATGCTCCCGAGACCCCGTGTGAGCGATATCGACTCATGTGAGTATAGGGCGGTTGCTCGAATACAAAGTACAATTTCGATGATCAACGCGGTACTCAGGTACTGTTCGACCATCGGTAGTGACTACCTAGGTAGGTAGTCTTGGTGTCGGAATTCGCAGCTTGCAGCATACATGACATTGAATTTTAACAAGCGGATAGTCTTGATGATAACGTATACTCCCACCCTCTCATATTCTTTATAAACCGCGATAGTTGCTGTCACCCTTACCTAGGTAGTAGGGCAGATGCCTATTTGTGGCAAGAATGCATGCTATTCTGCCTTCAAAGAAATTGGCACCAGATTTCGCAATGCCGAGTCTCAGAATGTTGGATGAGGCGTGCTGAGCAACCCTGCAATGGATGATTGTGACACCTGATGGTGGTGATGGGTTCTAATCACGGGCGGCGCGCTGAAGTTTGCCGAGCTCTGACGAAACCTGCAAGCACCGAGCCTCCGGCGAACGGCACTTCAACCAACGATCGTTGGAAGTTAGCCGAAAGAAGGCTGCGCAACATATTGCTCGTATTGTGTGCCATATACGGAACTCTGCCCAAAGGACTGACTGATCAAACTGTCTCTTGTGGCATAATGACTGGTTGTATGCCAGCCGGCGACGGTGTCTGTGGACCTACCTCTAAGACACTAGGACATTAGCTTGCTGGTGCGTCTAGCGCATGCCCAGGACCTGCCTGTGAGTGGGCACGTAGCCCCGTTGGAGATGGTGCCTCATGAGTACACTGCAGGCTCGTTATGACGATATGTTCGATCAACTTTTCAACCCTTTCATCAAAGTCCGGTATGGTGTATCGGCTAGCATCCGTCGCTTTCATGAGTCAATCGTGTCAGCTTCCGACGAGAGCCGGGTTCGATTCCCGGTACCGGAAGAAAACGATCTTTTTGCCTTTCTTTTTGTCCTTTTCTTTTTGCCCACTTTATAGATTAACGCTGGCAATGTTCCGTTCCATTGTAGTCATCTAGAGATGTGTTGTGAAGCTTAAAACTCGCCTTCCGCAGCTCGAGATAGACGCTAATGCCAGCTGCCCAGGTGATTCGGTACCGGAAAAGAAGACCTTCTTTTTGCCAACATCTTTTTTTTTTGCCCGCAGTCCAAAATCCAAGCTAGTCACATGCGTATGCTGTGAATAACCTGCAGCTCTTTTGTTCGAAGTTCACATTCGTTGTAAGGCAGCTTGAGACAGACGCTGAGGCCATGTAGTGATGCCATCGCCTGCCACGTGAAAGCGCGCTTCGACGCGGGCGCGTCCGACCTTGCAGCGACTCCCCCACACTAGCACCTCAGCACAACTATCGCGTCCATGGCGAAACTCGCAACGCCAGCTTCTGGCTCCAAGACGCTGAACCCCTCCGCACATACCAATGGACATGCGCGATCCGCTGCACTCGAAGCTGTGAGCGCACGACCACGGCACAAGCAACGCCGGCCGACCAAGCAAGCGTCTTACGAGCTCACCAACCATGCCAAAGCCTACCTCGAGGGCGGCCAATGTATGCGACACCACTAGCCACACAGTATCAAGCTTACACTGACTCCAGACGCCAGCGGCTATGACTTCCTCTATAGCCTCCTCGCCGCGGGCACCAGCATATCGAGACCGGCGCAGCCATACATAGGCTTTCTCGCGCCGCCTGCATACATCGCATTCGCCTCTTCCATGGTCGCCGACCCCAGATTCACCACCAAAGCGCAATCGCGAGACGCCGCGAGAGGCTCCGATGCCGCGCTGCGATACCTGCAATGCGTGCACACGACGATAGACGACCCAGCATACCCGACCATAAGGAAAGCGTTCATGTTCCCAAGAGAACGCAACAGGAGGAGCGCCCCCAGCTACAGGGCTAGTGCAAGCTTATCACCCCAGCTAAGCAGCGACATCAAGCGAATAGCGGGCGAGGCTGCCAACGAGAAGAGCCTGTGGTATCGCGCAGACGACTTCTGGCATGCTGTGGGATGGGCGTTCAATTGCGCGATAAAGCACAAGAAACGGTGGAGTCGGTGGAAACTGTGGCTGAGGGTCATGCTCGACTTCCTCGAAGCCGATTGGGATGTCTGCGTCAAGCAAAGCAACCAAGAGGGAGCGAGCGACGAGACAACCCTCCAGCAGAGTCTCCTCTGGCACTACATAACCGGCGACGAGACAGCAATGAATCGCGCAAAGAGGCGCCGGATCATCAGAGCTGTACTCGCAACGGCGACACCCGACTCGCTCAAAGACTACCCGGAAGTTTGGGAGAGGGAGACAGCAGAGCCGAGACGTAAAAGAAATGAAGACCAGCCAGTGGGTGAGGTTGACTTCGAGACTGGGGAGTTGGCGGATTATGGTAGCGACGAAGATATGCAGGACGCATCGGACGACGGCGGGGATGAGAGTGGCGACGACACGTCTTCGGAGACCAGCGATAAAGGGATTAAGAACGTACACGACGCCATAGAGCGCCTTGGCGGACGGGACGCGATCGAGCTACGGCAGCGTCTCATAGCACTCGTAGGTACCTCTTTGGTCGGAGTCGACGACAACTAACAACAAACAGCTCGCCGAAGTGGCCGTAGAGCTACCGGAACTCTTCACACGGATATATGACCTCTGCGACAACATCTTGGAAGAGTTCAGTCAGGTCCCGACCATGACCTTTCAGGTGCTTTTGTCTACGATGAAGCTACCCGACGACATTCGAGTCGCCTTCACCGCGAACCTTCTACATGGTATGATAGCCAGCAAGCCACCGAGCTTCTTTCTCCGAGACCCTATTCAACAGGATTTCGAAAAGTCACTTCTTCCACTGAAAGGAACAACGCAAAGCTTTGCAGCAAACACCAAGATATCACTCATACTGGAACAGTTGTTCATGCACATGATGAAGAACAATGCTCTTGCCCCTAATCCAGCTCTCCGCAAGGCTATGGAGGCTGGTATTCAAGCGCGACGTAGTGTGTATGGTACGGGTAAAGGCAAGAGAGGTAACGCTGAAGAGGAGGAACAAGCAAAGAAGCTGCTGCAGGAAAGCTCAGACAGGCTGTTGGGATTGCTTGAGGTATTGGAGATGGCCCATGGTAAAACTCCGCAGTCGACAAGAGTGAAGGAATCCGCACTGCTCTCTTTTGGCTCGGGTTCGTCGCTTTCTCCTGCGCCTGATAGCGAGACCGAGCCTGAAGACTGAAGAGAAAATTAATGGTATCTCCTCAGGAATTTCAAGGCCGCTTGCTATCAGCCAACAAACAGCAAACTGGACGACTCTGAGGTTTGGGCACTGGGCCCCGCCTCGTTTGCGGAACCTCGTTCTCGGTCCCAACAACCACGCAATGAAATACTGGCGTTTTTGGTCTCAAGCGCGCCACAATCACATTTGATTTCGAACTTTCATCTCCCTGGGTACCCCGTGCACGGTCGCACTGAACCCACGTCTATCTTTGTTTCGTTGGATATGCAGAACTAACACTTTACTGACACCCATTGGTACTCATCCGCGGAGCACGGCCCCCACCTGCCTTACTTTCGGTACCAGCGTTTTGACAACTACACCGATACTCGTACAATCCGCCGAACAAAGCCGCAATGGCTCCTAAACCTCCGCGCAAATCCAGAGCCGCGCAGATCGCTGCGATGAGGGAACGAAGACTTTTGCGCACTCTGACCGTAAGCGAGCTTGAGGATCATGCGTAAGAGTGGCTATGCTGACAGCGAGTCTAGACCGACACTATTACCGAGATTGAGACGTACATCAAGGACCAGCAACAAAAGAGTCTGAGGTTCAAGATGAACGCGATAGGATTGCGAGTTGAGCGCTCAATAGCTTCCACGCCATCATCGACTCCCATACGACTCATCCAACCTGGGGCAGAGGATATACTCCTCGGTGTACGGAGACAGTCTTTGAAGTCTACGCTGCTCGCGGAGCAAACACCACACCCACAGACCAATCAAGAAGAGGAGTGGCTCACGTTGCAAGAATGGTTGACTCGACGCTATGGGATTGCCTCTCATCTGGAAGATGAACCTGACGATTCAAATGAAGAATCTCTAAAGCAGGCAGTGGCAGCGTACATCCGTCACCGGCACCGCACCGACTTCGAATTCTGGAGGAAAACGGTTGACGTCGACAGTTGCTTGAACCTGTTAAATCAAGACATATGCTCATACAGCAAGTATGACCTTACAGACCACCTTCTGGAGGGCCTTTCCAGAATAGAAGCCGGCTGCCACGAGTCAGAGTCTGCTGGCCCTCCGAGACTTACTCCTGAACTCGTTTTGGAGATTGGTGTACACCCTCGTTGGTTATCGTTCCTCACTTGGATGGCCGAAGACCTCGAGACGCTCGAACCAATCCCTCTTACAATGTACGACTGGTGGAACTCCAACGGCCGAGCTTTCCGGTTCCTTGATCTTCCTGAAGAACTCCGTTACCTCGTATACGATCAAGTCATCGGCCCCTACATATGTTTATCGCTGAGCAAGGGCGACTCCAACGGAAACCAGCATGTCAGACTGACCCGCCCCAAGCGCCGCTGCATAGACATACATCGCTTTGGGAAAGTGAGTGTTGCCGGAAGCGAATACCAGTTTCAGCCGGACATGCTTGCTCTCACATGTCAGCAGATGTGCTATGAAGTCAAAAAGGCCACATGGGAGCGCACGACAGCATTGCTCAACGATTATCATCACCCTTCCATATGTCCCACTTGGCCTCATGTCTTCATCCCCTATCACGCGATGCGCCGTATCGAGCTCAATCTCTCCACATCGGATTACTTCCGCTTCCTCGGCCTAAAATGCGAACGCCATCAGGGTTTCGTCGAATTGGACAACGAGATGACCCCCGCAATCGCCCAACTGCGGGAGATACCAACGCTTTTCCATCTACATCTCCACTTCACCATCCGTCCGCCTATACGGATTGGTCCTGGTAATACGTGGAGGTCATTGGACCCTTGGCTTAATATCGCAGGAAACAGGGGTACGAAAGTAGTCTCGTGCCAAAGAGTCTTCGTTCACTGGTTCTTCACACTGGCGTGGGCGGATATCAGACATATACCCCGAGTCACGTTCTCCGGTCATGTTAAGAGAAGGATACGAATGATGTGGGAATTCGAATTTGATCGTAGTACTTCACGGAAACAAACAGATTCCAAGCACGAATCCATCGCACGGATACAGGCTACGCCGTGGCAAAGACTGTAGGTAACCCACCCTGAGAATTGGTGTTTGATTTGCTAACGACTCGTACAGTCCCCCGGTATGCAAGTGCGAGATACCTTGCGATTGGTGGAACGCTCGTGGACCGTATCTTGAGGGCCAAGATCCGAATTTCCAGCCTGGTGCTAAGGATGTTTATGATTACGACTTCGATCCTGAGGAATTCGATCGGTTTGATTGCATGGATTGGGATCATCCGCGACCGTGGTATTGGCGTTGTCAGTAGGTACTGAAGGGAGCTGCGGCTGAAGCGCCTATGCACTCGTGCATCCATACACCTTACGCAACGCTCATTTGTTAGCATGCTATGTTGTGAATAACAAAGCAGAAGGTGTCCTGCCTATGCTCCTTGCTTGTTGTTTTCCATGCGCCTATCTTCACCTTGACCTTACCTTCATAGTAACATCTTGGTATGCTTTGGACAGATACGAGCGAGTTCGATAGGCTAGTCAGTGCTCGTTCATGCTTACATTTAGAGCCTTAAGCCGATCTATGTGTGCAGCTAAAGCTGCACAAATGATGCTATCAACCACGTGCTGAACAAAGAAGAAGAAGAAGAAGAAGAAGAACACATTGCAAGACGGAAGTGGAAAGTATAAACGATAGTATTATATTACATCACCTTGGCAATGTGGGTATATAGAGCAATGAGCCTGCCAATGAGAACACGCTCCTTGCGGCAGACTGCGCTGAGCATGTCATACAACAAACGATGTAACGCTTAGAAGACGTTACCCTTAGTCTGCTTGCCATTCTCCTCCTCAAGCTTCTTGACGTTGATGTTCTTCCAGATGTAGATGCTGGCCAAACACAACGGCACAAAGCACGCACCAGTGATGACCATCTTGCGTTGCACATCGGCATAGGCACCGACAACGGCATCGCGCTCTGGCGTACCATCGAGGAACGATTGCTGCAAGGTGATGTTTCCGAAAATCGCCCTGTATTCGGGCTTGCTTTCCTCGGGCAGACGCATGAGTAACTGTCCAGGGAGGATGTTGTTCCACATGCCACCGGCGATGGCATATCCGATGGATGAACCGAAGCTGCCAAAGAGACCCCAAACTGCGTTGACGACCGCAATTTCTTGATGAGTGACGGGGACCATGACAGCGAGCTGGGCGCAGGTGGCGAAGAAAGCCGTGCCGAGACCGACGAGTACTTGAGTGAAGGCGAGAACACCGGGGTTGGTGGACGGGTTTCGGAAGGGGATCAAGAGAGCGGTACCGAGGAGAACGATCGGTACACCGGTGTAGGCCGTCCACTTGAAGTTACCAGATTTGTGGATCCACCATGCGATGAGCGGACTGAATGTCGACGAGGTAAGCGAGAAAGCGTTGAGGATATATCCAGCGTGGGGAATGCTTTGCCTGTGTACGACAAGCAAGTAAGAGTAGAAGTATCCGTTCCAGCAGAAGACAGACAAGAACATGACGCAGTAAAGCAGGCAGGAGCCGATGATGGTACCGTTCTTGAGGTACTTCCAGGGTAGGAATTGGACGGGCGCAAACTTGGCTTCCCAGATGTAGAAGACGGGGAAGAGGCAGAGTCCGAGAACGATGCAGGCGATGATGTACGGGGTGTTCCAGCCCCGGGGCGCGTAGGCGACGAGACTGAAAGGCAGAACAAAGAGACTCCACGCGCACATGATGAGGACGATGCCAAGGACTGGGTCGCGCGTTAGTAGCTATACGGGTAAATCTTCAGATGAGTGTGTAGCTTACTGTCGAACTGTATGGCGTAGTACCACAGCGATTGGAGGAAGTTACGATCCGACGTTACGTTCTTGACGAGACCAGCCTTCCTAGCCTTGCGGTACATGAACATCATGAGCACCAACGCGGGAGCGCAGCAACCGACGAAGATGATGATGAATGCACCAAAAGCCCATCGCCAGCTGTTCTGGTAGTAGAACATGTCGGCGATCACGGGTGCGGCGAAAGTGCTTGCGATACGAGGAGTTCCGTTGAGGGTGAAGATGATCATGCGGTTCGTCAGGCTGGTGCAGTCTGCGGCCATGATGTCGGCAACGAATAGAACACCAATGTGACCAGCCCAATAGAGGACGTGACCGGCGATGTAGGTCTGTACGTTGGTGCATGCGGCTTTCATAGCCATACCGGCGACGACGACGAGCAGCATGAAGAAGAAACCCTCCACGCGACCAAATATATCGATGACCTTGGCAATGACGAGAGGAAGGCAGCCACCGAGCGCAGTTGCCATTACGCTTCCGACGTTCAGGAGACCGTGTGTACCGAAGGCTGAGGTGATGAAGGGGTTGAGCGCGGCGTCAATGCCATTCTGCAGGAAAGCGACGAACTCGATAAGGTAAATGCTACACGGACAGGTCAGTCTGAGTTTCGCGATCTGAATGATACTAGAACATACAAGACCAGCATCGTAATCAAGGTCTTCGTGCTCCAAATCTCAGTGATTGCGCGCACCCGCTGAACTCCGTTTTGGAAGGTTTCCGATTCGACAGACTTGGTCTCTCCATCGCTGCCAGTCTCGTGGGCATTGAAAGCTTGATCGCCATTCTTCTCCATGTCGATATCTCTTGAGGGACGACCAAAGCCCTCTACAGGTCGCACGGCGTCAGTCGCAGCCAGGTTCGACATGGCAAAACAAGGATGCCGGAAAAGTGCCGGGCAAGGCAGGGTATGAAATTGGGATGCAGGTGAGCGACGATCGTAACACAGGCAGCGCTGCCATACTTAAGTATACCCTCGGCCCACTCTCCGAAGACCGGACAGGGAATGTCAGCGCAGTTACAGCGTCTGAAAAATTTGCCATGTGTATCCCACCCGGTGGCTTGGGATCATCTCCCACCGTCCAGGTATCTCGTATGCCCAGAGAGCATTAGGCGCGGCTAGATGATCAGATAAGTGCTAGATGATCAGATAAGATCCAATCTCGCTGTGAGCTGATTGCTGGCTCGTCTTGGCTGTGCCGCAACTCTGCATTGCCAAGGTCTTGGCCCAGGTTGTCAGTGGCGGATGGAGCTCCCGGCTCATCGAAACGAGCAGTGTGCGCCGAAGCTTCAATTCCGTGCGGGACCAACTTGAGGGTCTCGCCTTGTGGATGGAACTGCACGAGGAAGAGCATCCTCGTTGAGTAAGCGCGTCGTGGTAGCATGATCCAGTTTCGCGCCGTTCCTGGCGTCTTCTAGCTGGCGGCACTAGCAGTCAGCGTGGGAACTCCATTGTGAAGAGGCCCGACTGTTCACGAGCATGAGAAGAGACTTCTTCGCGCCCAAATCTTTGCTTGTGGCTGTTTTAATGGAGACATGTGGCTTTGGTAGTGCTGTTGCAGGATCATGAGGTGGATGTTGTTGGGAAAGAGCTCTCCCCTCATGACAGCTAGGAAGCGGCGCTAGCCGGTCTTGCGGGTCACGATGACATCTAATCTTATCAGATCATCGCATCTAGCTCGGCTGAAGCGGCCATTTGACAGGAACTGGCCACCTTCCGCGTTAGACGGTGGGGCATGGAATGAAGAGTCGGGTCCTGCAGGGTCGTGAGGGGCCGTTGTGGTATTGGAGACGCAGCCACTATCACCAATGCCCCACTGTCTCCTGGTCGCCACGATGTTCTGTCGCTTCCCTCTCCTAATCTTTCGTGGCGTCCGAGAAAGCGCTCAAAGTGGTACAGTCTGGAAGAAGTGTTTTCCTTCAAAACTGTGGGTATTTGTATGAGGGGTTTTCAGGTACACGGCTGCGGCGACGAGCGCGTTGAAGCCGCGTCATGACAGTGGTCGACCCGTACGGACATGACTCCGCTGCGCAGCATATGAACAGCCATAAGGATATAGGTCGCACGATATACTGCTTTACTTAGAAGTCGTCGACGGGAACAACCCCATAGACGCTATCTATAGCACACGAGTTGTCAAAGGTCAAAGCCATGCATGCCTGACACAGATTCTGTGACCTCAGCACACGCAGTTGCTGAGTTATGCGAATGTAGGAGCTGCTGTCATGCGAATAGCAGACACAACGTTTGCAGCTGCTTAGGTCAAGATAAAGATTATCTCAGATATTTGGTACGCCGTTGTACCTACAGCTTCCCTGACATCTACACTTCGATGTAGGTACCTAGGAATGCGCTTTTCACGTGATAGCATCGGAAGGAAACGGGTCCAGTTGTATTGAAGGGCTGATGCTAGTGGAATCCATCCCACGGCAGTACGGTACATTCTCCAAAAGCGATTGTTTCTAGTTAGAAATAGGCAATACAGTAGTCTCTTCTATCATGGATGTTTCGTAAGCCTGGCGTGTTACGGAGTGACCTCGGAACGCGGGATCGGAACTGGGAGTGATGAGGGGTCCGCTCACGTGTCGCTTCCAGGGCTGGCTAGCTTCGACTCTGAGGGCAACACAGACGGGCGAGCTCCTTCTTTCACTCCTCCACGGCATCTTCTAATGCTTTACCAACATTCTTCGGGGAATGCGATCCGATCAGGTGTCGAGATATCTCGTGTCACATGCTTGATCGCTCGCGCGAGAACAATGAAAGACCATCTACGCTCGGTACAACAATTTGTCCCGCAACCGGGCCCATTGAGCTTCAACTTGCCAAACCAAATGAATCGCAAGCTGCAGCCGAAGGAAGTATAATCATGAACGTGTATCCTCACCGTACGTTTGTCAATTCCGATTAGCGCCAACAATCACATCGTCTCATCTCTAGTAACGTCGTTGTCGCGCACTGGATCTCAAACCTGCTTCACCTGTAGTACAGACGCGATACCGATGGTGGTGAACACATTCCGAGGTTGGCTACCAAATACCTCCGCTTCATATATTTCGTGTCTTTCACAGTGCGCCGCATTCCTTTATGGCCGAGATGTGATCGGTTTGAAGCAGAAAGAGTTGGATTACTGCGATATGGGCAGCCTTTGTGTTACATTCGGAAAATCGTAGTAGTCCCAAAACTGGCACCTGTATGTCTATTCTCTACCTCGAGAGCACAACAAGAAGAATG